TATTTAGAATAAATCTCAAGCTTTGCACCACAAGATGCCCCAAGATCTTGGTCTTTGCCTCTCTCTCTCCAGTCTACTGTGGGCTTGCCCCACCCTGCTATCTACATTCCAGCCTCCTCAGTCTTCTGTAACATATCAAACTCTTTCCCATTTCAGCATCTCACTACACCTCTCCCCACTGCCTGGAGCCCACTCCTCCCTTTCTTCACATACTGGCTCTTTTCTATCCTTTAGGGCTTGGCTTAAATATCACCCACTCAAGTCTTTCCAACCCACAGTAATTTTTAAAATGTTTCTGCCTGCCATTACTTTCTATCTCAGATCCTTGCCTCAACACAATTTATAATTATTTCATCTGCTTTTTTGTTTTTGTGTGTGCCTCCATAGCTAGAATATAAGCTCCTTGATGACAGGGACAGTCTCTGTCCTGGTAGTTGGTGCATGCTCAGTGCTAAGTAGAGTGGACAGCTGTGAACAGCTATCATTCTCTCTGTTGTTTTCCTGCCTAGAATCCCTTCCTCCTTCTTCTAAAAGTAGAACCCATTATTTCTGTGGGGAACTCATTCCACACGGTTGAGGGGGTTAATCCTGACCTCCACCCCACCACGAGGTCTGGGCAATTTGGCAACAGGGATTGGTTCAGAGATCAATATGTGAGTTCAGCAGAACCAGTCTCCCCTCCATGAGATTTGCTGGATGGCTGTATTAAAAGAGAGGATCCATTTTACTCTGGGATCATGAGCTATAAGGATGTTGTAGGCCTAGTGTTGAGAGCAGTTCCTTGCAGAGGGAATCTGAGAATGAAACCAAAGAGAAGTTAGCAGGACCAGGAGATGGAGAGACAGCCTTGTTATCTCCGAACTCCTGAATCTGCCCATCCCTTAGATTTCCGGTATACTGAGCCCCTCCCAAAATGCCTTTTTTTGGCACACACAAATCTAAGTTGAATTTCCATCATTTTAACTGCAAGAGTTCTGGCATATAGTTGGTGGTCAATAAATGTTGACTAAATCAATAAGTGAAAAGACAGATTCATTCTTGTGTGCTAACTACACTTAAAGTTTCTGAGCCTGGGAAGCTGGCAATGGTCATTATTCTAAGGTAATGAATGCCACTGATGAGGCCCTATTGGAAAACTGGCAGCCAATCAAGCAGCCTCTTCGACAACCTGTCTTGGCTGAGTGTCATTTCAATAGGAACGCCTTTGTCATATATACTTCCCTTGCTAGCCGGAGAGCATCTCACGTCCCTGCTTTTTTTTTTTTTTTTTAAGATTTTATTTCTTTATTTGACAGAGAGAGAGAGATAGCGAGAGAAAGAACACAAGCAGGGGGAGTGGGAGAAGGAGAAGCAGGCTTCCCGCTGAGCCAGGAGCCCGATGTGGGGCTTGATCCCAGGACCCTGGGATCATGACGTGAGCAGAAGGCAGATGCTTAACGTCTGAGGCACCTAGACGCCCCTCAAGTCCCTGCTTTAATCATCCTTAGCATCAAGCAGCCACCGTCATGTTGCCATTCAATAGCTCTTCACTGAGGGAAAAAACTCCAGCCACAACAGTTATTACCAAAATGCAGAAGCTAAAATCAGAGTGTGACAAAAACAAGACTGAACAGAGTTATCATTCCCTATCCAAAAAGCTTTTGGCATCACCTTTGAAATAAGTATCCAGGAACTTATATATACCCCCAACTACCTTAGAAAATCTAAAGAAGAGATAGAATCAGAGTTTAGGGCTGGAAGTAATCTGCATTTGATTTAATCCTTTTCCAGAGTGAACACCAAGACACAATATGGTTAAGGGATTTGTCCAAAGGGCGGTACTTGGCAATCTTTAGGGCTGAGACTGAAATCCAGGGTTTCTGACAATCCTGAATCACTGGGCGATCCAGCTTCCATAGGGCAGATAAAGGAAGGTCTGACTGACCTTAGAAACCCAAGTGGCTGTTGTGATGTGACACTATTCAACATTATTCTGCAACTCTGAAGGTGAGAAAGTCAGTAACCTTAAAGTATCACTCTAACATCTCATCTTTCAGAGGGCAATTAACATCTTGCACATAAATGCCTAAGTTTAAGTATGTTTTATTTCAATCCAATACTAGATAGTGGAGGTTATGTGCTAATATTCAAAGGGGTAATCATCTTCACTCAATTTGTTTTTTATTTTGCCACAAATCCCAAATTTTAAAAGGAAGGATTTGCAGAACAAATCCTTTTATCAGGGGCGCCTGGGTACCTCAGTCAGTTAGGCATGGTCTGCTCAGGTCGTGATCCAGTAGTCCTGGGATCTATCCCAGTGTCAGGTTCCCTGCTCAGCAGGGAGTCTGCTTCTCTCTCTGCCCCTCCCCATCTCCATGCTCAATATCTTTCTCAAATAGATAAATAAATAAATATTAAAAAATAAAAAAGAAATAGGGGCACTGGATGGCTCAGTCAGTTAAGTGTCTGCCTTCGGCTCAGGTCATGATCCCAGAGTCCTGGGATCAAGCCCCACATTGGGACCCCTGCTCAGCAGAGAGCCTGCTTCTGGCTCTCCCTCTGCCTGCCACTCCCCCTGCTTATGCTCTCTCTCTCTATGCTGAATACATAAATAAAATCTTTTTTTAAAAGAATTAAATAGAAATAGAAGTTTTAATTTTACCTTCACTTATTTCTTTTCCAGTACTCTTCCTTTAATTAAGTAGATGTGAAATTCTGACCTCTACAATTTTCCTTCTCTCTGAATAACTTCTTTTAAACATTTCTTGCAAGGCAGGTCTATTGGTAACAAATTCCCTTGTTTTTTTTTCTTTTCTTTTTTTTTTTTAAAGATTTTATTTATTTTTGACAGAGATCACAATCAGGCAAAGAGGCAGGCAGACAGAGAGAGAGAGGAGGAAGCAGGCTCTCTGCCAAGCAGAGAGCCCGATATGGGGCTTGATCCCAGGACTCCGGGATCATGACCCAAGCCGAAGGCAGAGGCCTTAACCCACTGAACCACCCAGGTGCCCCCCTTGATTTTTTTTTCGTTTGAGAAAGTCTTCTTTACTTTTGAGGATAATTTCACAAAGTATAGAATTCTAGGTTGGTGGGTTTTCTCTCTCAACATATTAAATGTTTCACTCACTCTCTTCTTACTTGCATAGTTTCTGAGAAGAAGTACAATGTAATTATCTTTATTTCTCTATAGGTGGTTTTTTATCCTCTGACTTCTTTCATGATTAATTTTTCTTATCTTAATTTTCTGCAGTTTAAAAATGAGACGTCTATGTGTAATTTGGGGGCATTTATCCTGACTGGTGTTCTGGACCTTCTGGGATCTGTGGTTTGATGCCTAGCATTAATTTGGGGAAATCTGCACACTCATTATAGTTTCAAATGTTTCTTCTATCTCTTTTTTTCTTTTTGCTCCCTCTGGTATTCCCATTACATGCATCTTACATTTTTAATAGTTGTCCTACAGTCCCTAGATATTCTGTTCTGAGTTGTTTTTTTTTTCCCCCTGATGTTGCATATGGTTCTGATGTCTCTCCTGTGTGGTTGTTTTTTGTTTTGTTTTGTTTTTTATTAAGTATGCTCCACCTCCAGCACAGAGCCCAATGCAAGGTTTGAGTTCATAACCCTGAGATCAAGACCCGAGCTGAGATCAAGAGTCAGACAGTCAACCAACCATCCCACTGGCTTTATGTAAGTTTTATAATTTTTCCTTGATAGCCAAGCATGATGTACTAAGTAAAAGAAACTGCTATAAACAGACCTTCAGTAATGTGGTGGTGAGGTGTGGGAGGGAGAAGTGTTCTGCAGTCCTGTGATTGGTCTTAGTCTTTTAGTGAGCCTGTGCCTCTGGACTATGAACTTCACATGTCTGCCTTCGTTTTCTTCTTTGCTTATGTGGGACAAAATGCCTAGAATGGGCTGGAGTTGGGTATTTCTCTTCCCCCGGTTAGGGTTTGATAATACCTCAGGAAGTTAGGTTCTGGTTCACTAGTTTTCCGTGAAGACAGTCCTTGTTAATAAAGAAAGAGTGCTTTGGAACATTACTAAATGGTTCCTTTTTCCCTCTTCTGGAAGCACTAGGGGATTTTTCTCCAGATATTTGCTGTGGGATCCTCATCAGACCTGTGGAGCTAAGACTCACAAAATTGTAGGGACCCCACTATGCCTGGATCCCCTAGAGTTTTTACTCATAGTCATCCATCTGAATCTCCAGCAATTTGTCAATCACAGTTCTGGTTTTCCCACCCTGGCACTGGTTCCCACAGTTGGTTTCCACTCATGAAGCTTTGCTCCAGGAAATTGTTATTCTCTGTATTCTCGTATTGGTTTCTTCAGTCTCGGGGGCAGGGGTTTGCCTTGTGTCCTCATCTCTCTTATGGATCTTAGAAGAGTTGTTGATTTTTAGTCTGTTTAGCTTTTTACTTGTTAGAATGGAGGGGCAGCTTCTGAGCTTCTTACATACTGACTAGAAACTGAAGTCTTTTTGTTTGTTTTTAAAATATATTTATTTATTTATTTATTTGACAGAGACACAATGAGAGAGGGAACACAAGCAGGGGAAGTGGGAGAGGGAGAAGCAGGTTCCCCTCTGAGCAGAGAGCCTGATGTGGGACTCCACCCCAGGACACTGGGATCAAGACCGGAGCCAAAGACAGATGCTTAAACGCCTGAGCCACTCAGGAGCCCTTTGTTTGTTTATTTTTAAAAATCAAGACAAGACACTAAATTTAAAAATTGGATTTATAACATGTTTGTAGATGAACAGAGTTATCATAAAATATTTCTAGTGAAGAAAGCTTATCTATGTATAAGAGCAAAATTCAAGTATTTAAAAATCAAATCCTCAGTGTTCCTGTTCTAGTATATATCAGGCTCTTAAAAGAGAAGCCTTTTCTAAATCTTTCTAAATGCTATTAATTTCTATTTCTATGTATGTCTGATAATGTTTACTTTTCTCATTGCCTTATCCTGATATTTCTTTCCTTACAGTATTAAGTTAATCTACTTAAGGAAAGACACCTGGATTTTTACTTGAAAAGAGGTAGGTAGTTTATTAAAATATTTTACTATAAATCTCATGCCATCGAAAAACTACAAATGGTTTGAATGCTTACTAATGTTCACTTTAATTTTGTTGGTGAAAATCCAAATCCCCCCAAATATATTATTTTACCAATATTTTTAAAGTTTGAAATCTAAACACAGAGAGGCTCCTAATCAATTAACATTATCCTTTATATATGTCATGCATTAAGAAAATAGGAAATGGCTTATTTTTTTATTTGACAGAGGAAACCTTCGGCTTCAAACCTGTCACTCGACAGTCCCTAGTGAGATTTAGATTGACAGCTGCACAGTGGGTCTGGGCGTGGTCACTGCATATCTGCAGCCAGGTGTGCAATCAAGTCTTTGGCATCTTGCATAACGGAGGGTATTTCTGAGCCGTTCTCAGTCACTTGGGTTCCAAACAAGAACATCTTCCTGTCATTTCCCACCTCAGACAATGCCAACGCTTCATGGATATCTGTAATACGATAGGCTGCTTCGAGATCCTTCAACCCAGAATAGAAAAAGCATAGGAAAGAGCTGGTTATTTTGCAATCCTTTTGGATAGATACATTTATTATTCTCACTTATTGCTCTCAATGATCTCACCTTCATTTTAATGTAAAGGATATTGTTACCCCATTATTATGATCCCAGTGGTTGTCTGAATATAAATATTTTAATCAGAATTATAACAGCAGTGGGGCATCTATCTGGCTTAGTTGGTAGAGCATGCAACTCCTGATCTTGGGGTTTTGAGTGTGAGCCCCCTATTGGGTATAGAGATTACTTATCAAAAAAATGAGAGAGAGAAAAATAAAGGGCAGCAGAATTATATCAGCAGTTATGAGCTATCATCAAGAAAGAATTTTTGGAATGAAGTTAAACCATTCTAATACCTTAATCAATTTCCAAACACTGTAGTCAATCTGCTTCTATTTTTTCCCATTTCTTTATTTATCCAAATCATATTCAATAGGATCAATTTTTTAATTGAAGTAGAGCTGACACACAGTTACATTAGTTTTCAGTGTACAACATAATAATTTGACAACCCTGTATGTTATTCTATGTTCACCGTAATTGTAGCTACCCTCTCTCACCATACAATGCTATTACGATACCACTGACTATATTCAGCATATACCATTATATATACTGTACCTTTCATCTCAGTGACCTATTCATTCCATAACTGGAAGCCTGTACCTTCCATTCTCTTTCACTCTTTTTTTTTTTAAGATTTTATTTATTTGTTCGACAGAGAGATCACAAGTAGGTAGAGAGACAGGCAAAGAGAGGGGGAGAACCAGGATCCCTGCTGAGCAGAGAGCCCAACATGGGGCTCAATCCCAGGACCCCGAGATCATGACCTGAGCCAAGGGCAGAGGTCCAATCCACTGAGCCACTCAGGTGCTCCCCGCTTTCACTCCTTTTTGCCCATCCCCCTACCGCTTTTCCCCCTGGCACCCACCAATTTGTTCTCTATACTTATTGGTCTATTTCTCCTTCTTGTTTGTTTGTTCCTTTGTTGTCTAGATTCCACATATAAGTGAAAGCATATGGTATTTTTCTCATTTCACTTAGCATAATAATCTCTAGGTCCACCCCTGTTCTCACAAATGGCAAGATCTCATTCTTTTTTATGGTGAGTAATACTCCAATATGTGTATATATGCTACATCTTCTTTATCCATTTACCTGTTGATGGACACTTGAGTTACTTCCTTATCTTACCTACTGTAAATGATGCTCCAATAATCACAGAGATGCAATACCTTTTTGAAATGGTACTTAAGGTTTTTTTGGTTAAATACTCAGTAGTGGAATTATTCGATCATAATGTTATTTCTGTTTTTAATTTTGTGAGGACCCACCATCCTGTCTTCCACAGTGCCTGTACCAATTTACTTTCTTGTCAACAATGAACAAAAGTCCTTTTTTCACATCCTTACCAACACTTATTTCTTGTCTTTTTGATTCTAGCCATTCTGACAGGTATGAAGTGATATCTCATTGTGGTTTCAATTTACATTTTCCTGATGATTAATGGTGTTGGGCATCTTTCTCATGTGTCTGTTGGACATCTGTATATCTTCTTTGGAGAAATGTCTGTTCATTGTATCTCCTACCTATTTTTAAATTGGATTATTTGCTTTTTGAATGTTGAGTTGGGTAAGTTCTCTACATATTTTGCATATTAAGTCCTTATCAGATACATCATTCGCAAATATTTATTCCCAGTCAGTATTTGCCTTTTTTATTATTTATTTTATTTTATTTTTTTAAAGATTTTATTTATTTATTTGACAGAAAGAGAGGGAGAAAGAGAGGGAGAGAGGGCACACATGAGCAGGGGCAGAGGGAGAGGGAGAAGCAGGCTCCCCACTGAGCAAGGAGCCTGATGGGGGACTCAATCCCAGGACCCCAGGATTATGACCTGAGCTGAAGGTAGCCACTTTTAACTGACTGAACCACCCAGGTGTCCCAGTATTTGCCTTTTTAAAAAGGTTTTGTTTATTTGAGAGAGAGAGATAGAGAGACCACGAGCAGGGGGAAGCAGCAGAGGAGAAGGAGAACTAGGCTCCCTGCTGAGCAGGAAGCCAACTTGGGGATCCATCCCAAAACTGGACCAAGGATCACAGCCTGAGCCAAAGGAAGCCACTTAACTACTTAACCCACTGAGCCACCCAGGTGCCCCTTGCCTTTTTGTTTTGTTGATGGATTACTTTGGTGTGCAGAAGCTTTTTATTTTAATGTAGTCCCAACAGTTTAATTTTTGCTTTTATTTCCCTTGCCTCAGGAGACATATCTAGAAAAATGTTTCTGGTGGCATCTGGCTGCAGTTGATACATTTCTAGATATTGATCATCCCAATATATTGCCTGTCTGAGATCAGAATTCACTTATTCTTAGAGCCTGTAGTGACATTTGAACAGTGTTAATAGATCCAGTAAACCTGTGTGCAATGTCTCAAGGTAATAAATTAATGATGGAATTGGAGAGGAAGAAAATATGAGGAAAATGTTGGATTACAAAGAGGTTTCCTTGTAGTCATAAAAGCACATTATGGATAGGGTGCCTGGGTAGCTCAGTCAGTAGAGCATGGAGCTCTTCATCACAGGATCATAAGTTGGAGCCCCACATTGGATATAGAGTTTACTTTAGAAGAAGGAGGAGGAGGAGGAGGAAGGGGTGCCTGTATGGCTCAGTCAGTTAAGCATCAGCCTTTGGCTCAGGTCATGATCCTGGAGTCCCAGGGAGCCAGCCCCATACCTGGCTCCCGCTCAGCAGGAGTCTGTTTCTCCCTCTGCCCCTCCCCCCAACTCATTGCATGCATTCTTTCTCTCTATTTCACTCACTTACCATGCATTCTTTTCTGATCACAATGCCATGACACTAGTTATCAACCACAAGAAAAAATCTGGAAAGAGCACAAATAGATGGAGCCTGAATAACATGCCTCTAAACAATGAGTGGGTCAACCAAGAAATCAAAAATTACATGAAGAAAGATGAAAATGGAAATACAAGGTACAAAATCTTTGGGACATAGCAAAGGCAGTTCTAAGAGGGAAGTTTATAGCAATACAGGCCTTCCTTAAAAAGCAAGAAAAATCTCAGATAAACAACGTACCCATACACATTCAGGTGCTACAAAAAGAACAAACAAAACCACAAACTAGCAGAAGAAAGGAAATAATAAAGATTGGAGCAGAAGTAAATGACATGGATACTAAAAAAATAAATAAATAAATTCCTAGAAACATATAACCTGACAAAACTGAATTAGGAAGAAATAAAAATTTGAACAGACCAATTACCAGCAACGAAGTTGAATCAGTAATCAAAAAATTCCCAACAAACATAAGTCCACATCACATGGCTTTACAAACGAACTCTACCAAATATTTAAAAAAGAGTTAATACCTATTCTTCTCAAAATACTTCAAAAAAGAGGAAGGAAATCTTTCAGATTCATTCTATGAGGCCAGCATTACACTGATACCAAAACCAGAGAAAGACACCACAAAAAAGAGCACTACAAGCCAATAACTCTGATGAACATAGATGCAAAAATTCTCAACAAAATATTAGCAAACCAAATCCAACAATACATTAAAAAAATATTCACCATGATCAAGTGGGATTTATTCCTGGGATGCTAGAGTGGTTCAATAATTGCAAATCAAGCAACATGATACATCACATTGATAAAAGAAAGGATAAAAACCATATGATCATTTCAACAGTTTCAGAAAAATATTTGACAAGGTAATTAATCCTTTCATGATAAAAACCCTCCACAAAGTAGGTTTAGAGAGAACATACTTCAGCATAATAAAGCCATATATGAAAAACCCACAGCTCACATCATACTTAATGGGGAAAAACTGAGAGTTCTCCCCTAAGGTAAGGAACAACACAAGGATGTCCACTCTCACCACTTTTATTCAACATAATACTGGAAGTCCTAGCCACAGCAATCAGCCAAGAAAAAGAAATAAAGGCATCCAAATCAGTAAGCAAGAAGTCAAACTTTCAGTATTTGCCGATGACATGACACTATAGAAAACCCTGAAGACTCCACCAAAAAACTATTACAACTGATAAATGAATTCAGCAAAGTTGCAAGATACAAAATCAATGTACAGAAATCTTTGCATTGCTATACATTAATAATAAAGGAGCAGAAAGAGAAATTAAGGGAAAAAAATCTCGTTTATAACTGCACCAAAAATAATAAAATACCCAAGAATAAACCTAACCAAGGAGGCAAAAGACCTGTATTCTGAAAAGTATAAAACTTTGTTGAAAGAAACTGAAGACAATACAAAGAAATGGAAAGACATCACATGCTCATGGATTAGAAGAACAAATATTGTTAAAATATCTATACAACCCAAAGCAGTATACAGATTTAATGCGATAGCTACCAAATACCAACAGCGTTTTCCACAGAACTAGAACAATTATAGAATTTGTATCGAACCACAAGACCCCCAAAAGCCAAAGCAATCTTGAAAAAGAAAAACAAAACTGGAGGTAGCACAATTCTAGACTTGAAGTTATACTACAAAGCTGTAGTAATCAAAACAGTATGGTACTGGCACAAAAACAGACACAGATCAACAGAACAGAGTAGAAAGCCCAGAAATAAACTCAAAATTACATGGTCAATTAATCTAGGATAAAGGAGGCAAGAATATGCAATGGGAAAAACAAATAGTGTTGGGAAAACTAGAGAGCAACAGGCAAAAGAATGAAACTGGACCATTTTCTTATACAATACACAAAAGCCAACTAAAAATGGATTAAGGACCTAAATGTGAGACCTGAAACCATAAAAATCCTAGAAGATAGCACAGGCAGCAATTACTCTGAAACTGGCCATAACAACATCTTTCTAGATACTTCTGCCAAGGTAAGGCAAACAAAAACAAAAATAAACTATTGGAACTACACAAAAATAAAAAGCTTCTCCACAGCACAAAACACAACAAAATTAAAAGATAACCTACTGAATGGAAGAAGATATTCACAAATGACCTATCCCGTAAAGAATTAGTATCCAAAATATATAAAGAACTTACACAACTCAAAACACACAAAAAAAGAATAATCCAATTAAAAAAATGGACAGAAGACATTAACAGATGTTTTCTAAAGAAGACATACAAATGGCCAACAGACACATGAAAAGATGCTCTCAACACATTCACTCATCATCAGGGAAATGCAAATCAAAACCACAATGAGTTATCACCTCACACCTTTCAGAATGGCTTAAATCAAAACCACAAGAAATAACAAGTATTGGCAAGAATGGGAAAAAAAGAAAGCCTCACGCACTGTTGGTAGGAATGTAAACTGGTGCAGCCATTGTGGAAAATAGTATGGAGTTCCTCGAAAGAGTAAAAATAGGGGCGCCTGGGTGGCTCAGTGGGTTAAAACCTCTGCCTTCGGCTGGGGTCGTGATCCCAGGGCCTTGGGATCAAGCCCCGCATCGGGCTCTTTGCTCAGCAGGGAGCCTGCTTCCTCCTCTCTCTCTGCCTCCCTCTCTGCCTACTTGTGATCTTGTCAAATAAATAAATAAATAACCTTAAAAAAAAAAAGGAGTAAAAATAGAACTATCCTGGGATGCCTGGCTGACTCAGTCAGTAGAGCAAATGACCCTTGTGCTCAAAGTCATGAGTTTGAGCCCTACACTGGGTATAGAGTTTACTTTAAATAAAAAAATAGAACTACCCTATAATCCAGTAATCACACTACTGGGTATTTCCCCAAAGAATAAGGAAACACTAATTCAAAGGGATATATGCACCCCTATGTATACTGAAGCATAATTTACAACTGTCAAACTATGGAAGCAATCCAAGTTTCCATCAATAGATGGCTAAACAAGATGTAAAACATACACACCCACACCCCCCCCCACACACACAGGAATATTACTCAGCCATAAAAAAGAAGGAAATCTTGCCATTTGCAACAACATGGATGGATCTACAGAGTACAATGCTAAGTGAAATAAGCCAGTGAGAGAAAGAAAAATACCATATGATTTGCTCCATGTGAAATTTAAGAAACAAGAGAAACAAAGGAAAGAAAAAGAGACACCCCCCAAAAACATGCTCTTAACTATAGAGAACAGTTTCCAGACAGGAGGTGAGTGGGGGGCTGGGTGAAATAGGTGAAGACAATTAAGAGTATACCTACCTTGATGCACACTGAGTAATATTTGAAACTACTGAATTACCGCATTATACACCTGAAAGTAATATATATTGCTGTATGTTCACTGGAATGAAAATAAACTTTTTAAAATGTCATTTAAAAAAATAAATGGAAAGCTATGTATAAAGAAGATAACCATAAGCAAAGTAAGATAATAGTCAACAAGTTGCTGAGGAAGATACACAGAACACCTATGAGTAATAAAGGATTATTTTTCTGAAAGATAGGAAAGATTTCTACAGCTCAAATAAGAAAAGATAAACAACTTAATAGAAATTTGGGAAAAGATATTAAAAGAAAATTCACAGGGGCGCCTGGATGGCTCAGTCAGTAGAGTGACCGACTCTTCACGTCTACTCAGGTCATGATCTTGGGGTCGTGGGATCAAGCCCCATGTTGGGTTCTGCACCGGGCATGGAGCTTGCTTGAGATTCTTTTTCTGCCTCTCCTTTAGCCCCTCCCTTCTCTCTCACTTGCTCTCTGTCTCTAAAAATAAATAAAAAAAAGACAATCCACAGATGTGGAAATGAGTTTCAAAGAATGAAATGAATCTGAAACTAATAACCAACGCACATCTGAAAAGATGTTGAAGCTGAACCAGTAATTAGGGAAATGCAAATTAGAATAATGGGATAAAATTTCAGCCCCATCAGACTGGCAAAAATGAAAAAGGTTGACAATACCAAATATTGAAATGGATGTGGAGCTGCAAAAATCTGTCATATTCTGCTAGCTGGAGAGTAAATTGGTGCAATATCTTTGGAAAGCAGCTCGGTAAGATCTAGTAAAGCTGATTATGTGCAAATCTGAAAACCCAGCAATTTCTCTTTTAGATGTATGCACTAGAGAAATGTTGATACACATCTACAAGGAGACACATACATGAAGATTCACTGTAGCACTGTTTATAATAATAAACCATTAGAAATAACCCAAACACCCAAAATGAAAATGGTAAAATTGTGGTATATTCATGCAATGGAATACTATAGAGCTCACTTGCATGTACCACGGTCTTCGTAGTTTATGGTATGTAAGATGCTCCCGTTTAAAACAAAACAAAACAAAAGCTCCAGCTCCTCTTTTAAATATAACCTGCAGGACTAGCTTCTGTGCTGGACTGGAACATAGATTCCTTTAGGTGGTCGTTTGTAATTACTTAGTTTACTGCCATTAAGCATTCACCCTCAGAAGTAGTGGGCCAATTAAGTTCCCTAATGACTGGCTATCTTAAAGCAATTGAAAGAGGGGCTTTACTATTACAATGCTGTAGATGTTTAGTATTTTTTACTTTTTTTATTGTGGTAAAATACACATAACAAAATTTATCATCTTAACCATGCATGAGAGCACAATTCAGTACATTCACACTGCCGTGCAACTGTCCACCTCCAGGAGTCTTTTCATCTTGCAAAACTGAACCTCTGTACCCACAAAGCAGTAACTCCCATTTCTTCCTCCCCAAACCCAAGCCAACCATCGCTAGTATAAACCCTGTACCCATTAACCAATGACTCCTCCTTCTCGTCTCCTCTCCTCCCATTCCCTTGTAACCTCCAATTTACTTTCTGTCTCTATGAACTTGACTACTCCAGGTACCTCATGAAAGTGGGATCATATGATATTTGTTGTTTTCTTGCTGGGTTATTTCCCTTAGCATAAGGTCCTCAAGGTTTATCCATATCACAGCATGTGTCAGAATTTCCTTTTCTAAGGCTGAATTGTCTGTATGTTTCATGTTTTATTTATCCATTCACCCATGGAGGGACACTTGGGTTGCTTCTACCTTTTGACTATTGTGAATAATTCTGTTGTGAATATGGATGGATGAGTATCTGTTCACGTTCCTGCTTTCAATTCTTTTGAGTATACACCCAGACGTGGAATTGCTGGATATGCAAATTCTATTTTTAATTTTTTGAAGGAACTGCCATACTGTTTTCTAAAGTGGCTGCTCCATTTTACATTCCCAACAACACTGTACAGGGTTCCAATTTCTCCAGGGTTGTTTGTTTTATATTTTTTATGTGTGTGTAATAAATTCAGGTCAGGCTAATTGATCTAAAGCAAACTATTCCTTTATGTACGGTAGACGCTCAAATATTTTGTTGAAATCAATTCAACCACCAGTAAATATTTACTGAATTAAATTCAACGCATATTTGTTGCATTTCTACTGTGCTTGTCCAGTATAAGGGACACAAAGATGAATAATGGTTTTTATTTTCAAGGAGTTTATAATCCAATAGATCTTATACGTCTAAACTAAACTGCATATACAGCATATTGTTAAATATCTAGCTATTAAAAGTAGACATTTCTATTTCTTTAAGTAATAATAAAACTATTAAGTGAAACTTAGAGTTGCCCAGATTTTTACCTGTTTGTTTGCAAATACAACCAGAGGAAGGATTGGGTTTGTTTCAATTAGTTGATGAAGGTGTTTCTTGGCTTCAGGTAATCTGTTGTGATCAGCTGAATCCACCACAAAGATCAGCAGCAATCCTCTGGATAGGTACATTTCCCAATAGGAACGGAAAGGTTCACTGCCACCAACTACAGAGAACAGCAGAGAAAAAATACGCCAAAAACATAGCAGAAGCAGCTGCTGAGAAGGCAGGGAAGACACTCTTAGTTAATTTCCAAACACTGGACAGGTGTTCTGATAAAATGCCACTGTGTCAGAGTGTATCTAATTCTGAGAATGACCAGAGGCATGTTACTAGGGAAATGGCTGGTGGGAATATTTACCCTCCATAAGTGGTTCAATCATTCTGGGACACAAAGACTCAGCATAAAGACTAGATGCTACCTTGAATACAGTGGATGCCCCCTGACCTGTAACACAGAGTGGCCATGGGGGCCACCACCTAACAGCTGAGCTCAGAAAATGGGAGTACGTCACTAAAATAATTCAGGGTGGTAGGTTAAAACACACCTTTCTCCAAAATAAGTTTTAAATAGACGAATTCCCTGGCCAGACTCACTTGCACAGTCTTTTTCCTTTATCAAAATCCCGTAACTAATTTCTCCTCTTAACACTGCACTAAGATTTAATAGGATCCTGTGGGCATTAAAGAAAGAAAATGCCTTTGGATTATTTCATTCCACTGATTCTTCCCAGAAGAAAGTTTCTGGCAATGATAATAATATATATACAATGAATTTAGTTTTGATTTTTCTCCTAGAACAGAGGCTGGCAAACTATGGGCCACAGTCTAAATCTGGCCCCACTGCCTATTTTTGGAAGCACAGGAACAAAGAATGGATTTTACATCTTTAAATGCTGCGGGGCGAGAGAAAGAATAACATTTCATGACATGTAAAAGTATCATATTTGGATTTCAGTGTCTACAAATAAAAGTTTATCAGAACACAGACGTGGACTTGCCACGTATTGTCTGTATTGTCTGTGGCTGCTTCCACGGTACAACAGAGTTTAGTGGCTGCCTAGAGACCATGTGGTCCCCAAAGCCTAAATTATTTACTCCCTAGCCCTTTACAGAAAAAGTTTGAAGACCCTTGTTTTAGAAACTTAACAAAAACATTTAAAATACTTCTGGGAAAGGGTCTTGATTTGTCTGTTCTTTGTTTGAATTAGCTAGGCTAATTCCCTAAATAAAGCATTTTGTGTTACTAACTTTTTAAAAGAATGTTGTGTAATCTTCTAAGTAATTCATATGGTTTCAACATATTTAGTTTAAGCATGAATGAACATTTGGGTTGTTCCTCATTTTTGTGTGTTTGTGTGTGATACCATCACATTTCACCTATGTTGGGATTTTCATCTTTTTGTTATTAACTTCTAACTTAATTGCAATGTATTCAAAGAACATGGTTTGGATGATGCCCCTTCTCTGAAAAATTTATTAACACCTGTTGTATGGTCCACCAGGTGGTCAGTTTTGATAAATGTTATGTGAATCTTTGAGAGGAACATGTATTTTAGCTTTGGGATGTAGCTAAAATTGTCTAATTGAACAATCTTATATTGTCCATTGGATGAAACTTGTTGGTTGTGTCTATATTCTCTTTATCCTTGCTGATTTTTTTCCTCTTTGACTTTAATAATTTGATAATACATTGAAAATCCCTCACTCTAATGGTAGATATATCCATTTCTTCCCCTAATCAGATTCTCCCTTTCTTTTTCATTCCTTTGTTCCTTCCTTCCTTTCTTTTCACTTTTTGTATTTTGAGACTATTTTTCTAGCTATTTATTTGGTTAAAATTATTATCTCTTCTATAGCTTCTGAACAAATTAAAACCTGTATTCCAGATAATGTTGTTAGCTGAAAGATTTGCCTACACGTTGACCAGTTTCTCTGCCCATATTTTCTTTCTGTAACTGGATGAATGGAAAAATAAAAAGGTGATTACAGTAATCTAAGGGAGAGATGATGTAGGTTCCAGCTGACATAGGTGCAGTAGGAAAAGGTGTAACTGATGAATTCCAGCTTTGTTTAGAGGTAGAAAAACTCATAGTGTTTTATTTGTGGACTAGAGTTGGGGGTACAAAAGGAGACATCAAGGGTGACTCCTATTTTTCTGGCTTGTAACACGATAGATAAGGAACCATTTACAGACCAGTAGATTATAGGGAAAGGAACAGATACGGAGATAAACCAAGCACTTTGTCTCGACCATTTTAGGTTTGAGAGGCCAATTAGACATCCAGGTGAAGAGGTCAGGTGACCTTTGGATATGCTCGGGTCGGATAGATAAATCTGGGTGTCATTAACACAGAGATGGTATTTAAGGCCAATAGGATGAATGAAATCATCCAAGGAGAGAATGTAAAGAACCAAATATAATGCAACTTTGGGGAACGACACTATTTAGAGAGGGGGTGACCCCAGAATTACTTTAGCATAGAGACTTCTGGGCTGCCCTCTGGTTACAAAACGAGATTTGGGGCTTGTTTATAGTTGCATTTGCAGAGAGGGAAGCATGTGTATTTGCTGTATTTACTTAGATTGAATGTTTCTTGGGGTAGTGAGGGAATTGACAGCGAATTATAGGAGGGGGTGCTATAGCCTTCCTTGCAGCTCCCTCTCATGCCAGCACTGAAAAAAGGAGGACATAAGAAAAGGAAGTGAGTTCCTCCACACTGAACTATTCAACTACATATGCATTCTAAAACCGTAGGCAAACCTGACCCAGTGTGACTTTTCATAAGGGTACAGTGATGCTAACAATAGGTCTGGCTTAAGGTATAACAAGATAAGCCTATCCTGTTAGTAATGAGAAAGCAGGCTTACTCTCCAGAAACTCCATCTGGCTGTCCTCGGTGTTGATGCATACTGCATTGAAACCTTGGGTGGGTGCCACACTGTGCTGGACTCTGTTTAAAGCAAGAGAGTGCAGAACGCTGGTCTTTCCTGCTCCATCAAGGCCCAACACAAGGATCTGCTTATTTTTCTCCTGTGAAAACAAAAGACCAATCAATAAATGCAACCAGGGGCTTGTTTCCCTGGCTCCTGGCAGTGTGCCTGCCTGTGGTAGGACCCAATAATAATTGTGGAATTGTAAACCAGAACAAAAATTCATGAAACATTTAATATGTCTAGGAGCCCCTGGCTGTCTCAGTTGGTAGAGCATGGGACTCTTGGTCTTGGGGTCGTGATTTCAAGCCCCATGTTGGGTGCAGAGTTTACTTTAAAAAAAATTAATAGAACTAGGACAAACTGTACAGTCTGTATTTTATAATCAGCGATTAGTTATGTGGTATTAATCACACCCCCCAACTAGAATGGTGGTGATCAATCTATTAAATATAGACTATATATAACAGGATTTATAGGTGGTGCCATAGATCACAGGATGTGATCTTCACTTTGCTGCTTGAGTTCATGTCCAGTGCGGATTGTCACAGAATTCAGTTTGTTGTTTGGGATCTTGGGACATCTGTGGTTCATGCACTCACTATGCCATTCAGCATGTAAGCACCCGGTCTCATAGTATTGATCTGTTTTCTTTTCCCAATTGAATCACTAACTAGATAAAAGACTAGGGGAAGTTTCCCCTCTTATACTTTTTAATAGAAGTATCATGATTAAATGAAAAGGCTAAGGTTATAGAAACTGTTAAACAGGGGCGCCTGGGTGGCTCAGTGGGTTAAAGCCTCTGCCTTCGGCTCAGGTCATGGTCCCAGGGTTCTGGGATCGAGCCCCGCATCAGGCTCTCTGCTCATCAGGGAGACTGCTTCCCTTCCTCTCTCTCTGCCTGTGTCTCTGCCAAGTTGTGATCTTTCTCTCTCTGTGTCAAATAAATAAATAAATAATCTTAAAAAAAAAAAAGAAACTGTTAAACGGTTCCAATCACAAATGAACATTTATTTTAGAATCAGATGTTAAAACATGTTGAACTTGACATAAACTTTAGAAAGAAGCATTCCACCAACATACCAGACTTAGAAATTTTTATAACAAGTGATTGAGAGACAAGAAGGGCAGGTTGGTATGAAAAGTTCAGAGTGCTCAGAAAAGTGACTTTTAGGGTGCAAAATTTAATGTGAACAGTAATAAAGGACTAACAATACAAATTGCCCACAGGAATTCAATTCTATTTCCCGAACTGCCTACTGAAGAAGTTTCTCATGCACAAAAACACCAGTAATTGTCTTCAATGACATTGGTTTGGAAGTAACAATAATCTTTTACATTTATACTTGAACACTAAATATTGATGTTAGATTTAGACTGGTTTTCTAGTAAAAAGTGAATTTTTTTTACTATCCCATTTTTTCTTTTTTTGAAAATAAGATCTATGTGAAAGTGAGATGTTTGAAGATCTGGTCTAGTAGGTTCTTGTATAGACAGCATAATTTATGAAAACTGTCTTGTGAATAGAAGAATTAGAAAAAGTACATGTTTGTTTTGGAATTTTTTTTTAAGATTTTATCTATTTATTTGACAGAGAAAAATCACAAGTAGACAGAGAGGCAGGCAGAGAGAGAGGGGGGGAAGCAGACTCCCCAGCGAGCAGAGAGCCTGACATGGGGCTCTATCTCAGGACCCTGAGATCATGACCTGAGCTGAAGGCAGAGGCTTAACCCCCTGAGCCACCCAGGCGCCCTCTTTTTGGAATTCTTGGTGGCTCTTAAAGCAAATGGTATTTCCATAGTTATTTTCTATCTTCATCCCCATTCCCTCCCATCTGCATCTAAACACGAGAGTATCATTCTGGAAGTGTGGTGAGGAAGAAGGACTTCATGGATAGAGAATATCTCATAGGATGATTTAAATTGCATGCTCTAAAGCAGATTTGGGGCCAAGAAATTGCTGTAGGGTGTGAATTGTGTCCCCCTTACTGTCTCCACCAACAGCCCAGTCAAGACTACCCCAACTACTTTATCAATTCCAACAAGCAATCCTCCCTCCATTTTAACATCTCCAAAACGAGGGTTTTACAATTCATGGTGTGTCTTTTTTTTTTTTTTTTTTTGGGGAGAGAGAGAGAGAGAGAGAGAGAGGGTGGGGTTGGGGGAAGGGCAAAGGGAAAGGGAGAATCTTAAGACTCCTAGCTGAGCACACAGCCCCACGGGGGGCTTGATCTCAAGACACTGAGATCATGACCTGAGCTGACATCAAGAGTTGGATTCTTAATCAACTAAGCCACCCAAGTGTCTGGGTATGTCATATTTTGATTGGCAGCAGTTTTTTTCTTTCTCAGCAGTGCCAAAATAATGGTATCTGAGATCCTAGGAAATATTGTGAGTAAAAACGGTTCCCTACTCTCCTTCTAACCACACGGCTGTCCCTACTCTATCCTGTCTAGAAATTCTGCAGTCACTGCTTACAATTTACTTTATTATTTTTTTTAGCAAAACACATGCTAAAATACATGCTTTCTTATGTTGATCATCTCTTAAGGAAAGCTAGGATTGTTAAACCAAAAGTTCTGACACAATTTGTGATTTTGAGCGCCACTGTTCCCTGTCAATAGTCATTATTTTAACCATATATGGGCCTATAATAGTTTGTTTTACCAGAGATCAAATCGCCGTTAATAATTCAAATTGTTTAGAACCAGAAAGCACCTGTGAGCTCAGCAACTCCAGGAGCAAGAAGCTTATTAAGCTGATCCAAAAACGCCAGTTTTTTCTTTCTTTTTATCCTACACCCCCTCAATTTTTTCACTGTGGTAAAATACACATAAATATAATAGAAATAAAATATAATATAAAACATACCGTCTTACCCACTATTAAGGATACGATTCAGTAGTATTAAAATACGTTCAGAATGCTGAGACTGTAGTCCTTGCCATTCTTCCTCCCCTCAGAGCCTCAGGCAACCACCAATTCTACTCTATGACTTTGACTCCCCTAGGTACCTCATATAAGTAATCATAGTATTTCTTTTTTCTTTTCTTTTTTTTTTTTTAAGATTTTATTTATTTGACAGACAGAGATCACAAGCAGGCAGAGCGGCAGGCGGGGGGATGGGGTGGAGGGGGGAAGCAGGCTCCCCGCTAAGCAGAGAGCCCGATGTGGGGCTCGATCCCAGGACCCTGGGACCATGACCCGCGCCTAAGGCAGAGGTCTCAAACCACTGAGCCACCCAGGCGCCCCCATAGCATTTCTTTTTGCGATTGCAGTGCCTGGTTTCTGAGACCTCTCCGTTAAAACTTTGCGACCACCCTCGTGGGCGCTGGTGGTGGGAAAACAATGGAAGCAGTAACCACGGAGAAAGTCCAGCCCTCGGACGCATCTGCACGAATTCGGGAACCCCGCACCACGGAGAGCAGCTGGACAGAGTCCTAGGGCCGCGAGGGCTCGGGGCTGGTGTCGGTGAGGGAGGCGGGATGCGCGCAGGTGCCGCTTCCGCCCGGAGCGGACCAACCGCGACCTCCTCTTCCTCACCGCGGCACCACCCGCGGGGGGTGGGCGGGGGGACGCCGGGGCAGGGTTAGGGCTGAGGGTAAGGCAGGTGACAGGGAGAAGGGGCCAGCGACGGGTCTTGGGAAGCTTGGCACACCCCCTTCCATCCACAGAGTAAAATGCCCTCAAACCCAGACCCGATTCCCTCCCGCGCGGGTCGGGGCCTCGGACGTAACAGAGCCGGCGGCGCTCGGGCCTGACCGTCCACAATGGCCTTGGAGAGCCGGGCGAGGCCCGGGTCCCTTACCGGCGGCTCCAGTGGGGGCTTTGTCATGGCGCTGTTGTCCTTCTTCTCTTTCTCTTCTTTTCCCTTGAGTTGTTCCTTCTCTTTCTTGGTCTCCCGCTCTTTCCTCTTTTCCTCCTCTTTACAGTTACTATTATCCTCCTTTCCTTTCTCTTTTCCCTTAATTTTCTCCTTCTCCACCTCCGTCTTTTTCTCTTCCTTTCCTTTTTCCCGAATTTTCTCTTTCTCTGGCTCCTTCCCCTTCTTCATCACCTTCCCCTTCTCATTCACCTTCCCCTTCTCATTCACCTTCCCCTTCTCCATCGCCTTCCCCTTCTCCATCGCCTTCCCCTTCTCCATCCCCACCGCCCTAATTTCCTCTATCCGCGCGCCCGCGCGCTGGAGCCTGGGCCCTGGGTCCCGTCAGGTGTGGCCCCCGTGGCGGACGCAAGGTGGAGACGTAGGTCCACGCGGCGTGGACAACACCCGCGGTCACTCCGCGGCCGAGGCCAGTACCCCGGCGCGCTGGCTGCCGCCGCGCATCTGACGCCCGCTAGCGGGGGTCTGCGGCGCCGCGGATTCGCCGAACCCCGGGGCGGGGGAGAGGATAGAGGGGAGAGCTAGAGGGAGCGCTGAACATAGGGAGGTAGAGAGGCCCAGCTGCGAGAGTTGGGAGAGGCCCGTGGGAATTATCTTCAGGGTAGGAAAATCGCCGTAGGCGACCCCGGAGGTCCCACAATGCCCCCGATTCCCTCGTACTGAGCGCAGTGTCTCAGAAAGGCCTTCCAAGTCGGCCCAGTTCCTGGCGTGTCACCTCCCCCACATCATCCTAGAGCCGCCCGGCCCACGTGTCTCCCATCGGAAGAACGCTTTGGAAGCCAGCGCCCAGAGCGTCCCAGAGGTTTCCCGGCCAGTTACCACAAGTCTGAAAGTGAAGTCGGTTATCTTCCCTCCCTCCCACCCGTGTTAATTCCACAAGGAAGGTCTAGAGGCCGATATCCAGGATGCTTAAGAGAAACATGCACAGTTCCTTTATTTAAAATTCCGGCTACACGTCGCTTAAATAAAATTACCTGGAGATTAAATTAGTAGTCCGCCAGGAAACAGATACTAATGATGATACTAATGATAAAATGATAAAACAGATACTAATGATAAAACTACAACTAAACAAAATGGTCATCCCCAGTGATCCCGTATGTGGCAAATTAGGTAACCACGGGACTTTTCAAAGGTGGTGTTAACATTTCTTAAATTGTTTGAGGGGCGCCTGGGTGGCTCAGTGGGTTAAAGCTCAGGTCATGATCCCAGGTCCTGAGATCGAGCCTTGCAATCGGGCTCTCTGCTGGATGGGAGCCTGCTTCCCCCTCTCTCTCTGCCTTCCTCTCTGCCTACTTGTGATCTCTGTCAAATAAATAAAATCTTAAAAAAAAAAAACAAACCTGGTTGAAAAGTATATGGATTTTTTTTTATTTTGCTAAACTGCTCTCAATATATTTCACAATCTAAATTATCTTAACGCAATAAACTGGCTTTCTTTCATCAGGATCTACTGTTCAGATAGGCTTGTAAACAACAGTGAATGACAGGCTGGTTCCAGGTTTGAGTGAGTAATATGTTTTTAAGGTGAGCAGTTTACAAGCAGCCTTGAAAATGCTGTGCTTAGTAACTTTAAAAATGTTTACTCCTGTTTGTTTATAAACACATATGAACACGAAGTTATATTGTAACACATATGAAACCAAAGTTGTCACTGAAGTCACAACTGGGTTCTCTCAGTTCCAGCAGATTAGTTTTGAAGATTTGTGGGAAGGGCAAGAAAGAATTCTAGATAGCTTAAAAAATTCTTTGGTATACCAACCAGGAAGTCCTTTATAAAATGCCAAAACCCAAAACACCTTCATCTAAACACACTGAGGGAATATTTTATTTTAAAATGTACCACAGTGAATCGATGTATCCATACTGGTTTTTATAAATGTACACACACATACTCACACAAAGTATATGTCCTTGATTAAAGACCTGTCCAAAAGAAATAATTACTAGAAAATTAATGTAGATGTTTATACTTCATTTGACAATTATGACTTATTTAAATTGAGGTTTCAGTTGCTTAGTAATGACTGGTAATAACAATGGCTAGTAATTCCAATGACTAAATAGAGAAATACAAATTTCACTGTTGGTGCCTTACTTGGGTCAAAATTTTTAACAATGGATAACTTTCACCAAAAATCTGGCTCAATTAACCTAAAAATGATTATCCTTCACCACAGAAATTTAATGGAATCCTAAATAACAGCTTACAAACAATTACTCCTGTAATGGAGTATATATTCAGAAGGAATAAGTCATCACTCTTACCAAAATATTCTTTAAGCTCAAAAAGTATTATGTCATAATAGGTCATTCATATGTAAGAGGGTCTCTTGTTTAGATGTTACTGCAGATTCTGACTAGGCAGCACATTTCTTACTCTTGTAAAGGAGGAAAGCCTTTTAAAAAACACCTTTGAAGAAGTTTCAGTAGATATGTTCAGAGTCAAACACAGCAGCACTTTATTAACAAGGATGAAGTAATATCACAAGGAAATACTCAAAGTCTAAATTCAATGCTATCTTGGGCAGCACAAAATGAATACTAACAAGGGTGGCATCCCAGTGTGCCTGTCTCACAGCTGTTCAGTGGGAAAGTGGCTTGTAAGCAAGGAAGACCAGAGCAACACTGACACCACACTGACTGTACAATACTTCATTACTTTGAGAAGGGTAATGAATAGTTGTACCCCAAATGACAAAGGCAAATCATTTTAGTATCTATTAACTGGGCCAAAAAGTTCTGTTAAGTTGCCCACTACAGAACTCTGGAGGATTTCCTCTCTACCTAGAAGTCACTGTTCATGCTCCTGACAGGGCCATTAAATCTGAGACACTCCAACCCATCTAACCTCAGAACGCTAGGTCTAGGGGGTCAACTTCCTGCAACGCTGATACATTTTCCTTGAGTTCTTTAATGGGGCTAATGTCAGCATAATGTCATCATAAACTGAAAACAATACGGGGTGCAAAGGAGTCCTAATTTATATACGTGTGTATATGTACGTACACACACATTTCATTACTATGTATTTAGTGTGTATATATAGTTTCCCATACTCCAGGATCACATAACAGAGAATTTATGGTTAAAACTGATCATAACATTTACTTCAGTTTTTCGGTTGTCATTCATGTAATGAAGTGAACAACACCAGTGTATTAGTAAGGTCCCTTTTTATCACATGATATTTCTAAGCAGATACTTGGAATGCTCAGAAGATTCCACTTTCAGTCTCCTAAGGCCTCCTAAGACATAATTTAAAGTGGGATTTGATAGGAAAAAGTATCTTTAGGCTCCAGTTGAAACAGAAGTAGGTTCTGTTTAAATCCTAGGAAACTCTGGATAACATGCCTTGTTTGTGAAACTGAAAAGACACCAGATCACAGCGCACAAAGAGAAAAAATGCAACAGAGATCAAGGTAGGAAAATGCCCAATTATTTTGAGTCCTTATCATCTGTGCAAAGCTAGGTGGTACAAGTAGGTCACGTCTGACTAGGCAGAGTTTGAGCAAGATATTTTCCTGTGTGATACACAAGAAAATCATTTCATGAAAATGTGGGGATGGGAGAGGGAGTAGCTCTGTGCTTCTTGCTGTGTTACCTTTATATGTTCCTAGTGTCAGTGAGACTAAAAATAGCCTGCCAAGAATGTTCTCATCACCAGCCACCTTTTCCACCTTTCTTCTTTTTCTGTTGCTGTTTCTTTTTTGTTGCCGGAGCCCCTGCAGGTTTCTGGTGTCTTGGGGGTATAATATTACTTGTAGATGCTGATGCTGTTGCTGCGCTGCCAGGTCTTGGGGAGGTTGGTGGGCTGCTCACAGTTTTACTGGCGTCCCTGAAATCATCAGATCAGGAGAGTGCTGGTCATTCATATATTCAACAAAGGAAAGGACTATAACAACGTATGTATGGGATTTTACTTTCTATTCCTACCAACCTCCCACACATATTCTATTTATTTTAAAGAGGGCTCCCCAACTTCCTATCCATTTTTCTTTGAAATACAATATTTACTGCTTTATAGTTACAGTAATATATGGTTCATGCCAATTTTTAGAAAGCATAGGAAAAAGAAAAAAAATTTAAATGACTCATAACCTTACAATGTAAGAATAACTTGTTTAGTAACATTTTTAATATTTCTAGTCATCTTATTTATAGTATCTGTTGTCCTTTATACTCAATTAGTTGAAGGACTCAGTGAATTAAGCTTCCTTTTGAAGATACTGTAATCCTAACATCTACGATACAATTCTATAATCCTATATTTACTATATATTCAAACCAGAAACACCACCTTTTCTTTCCTTTATATACGCGTACTGGCAAAACACTTATTCAAGATAACTGACTGTATTCCTTATACTTAAAATATATCTTAAAAATTCTTACTAATGATACTGAGTCCATCTGAGAAAGAATCAACCTATGCTCTGAGTGACTTCAGCTGAGGAGCAATGACTTACAGTTCAGATGAAGCTCCTGCAGTTGCTCCCTGGGTCCCTTTTCCAATCTGATCCTTCTTTTTACCCTTCTTTCTTCCCCGGTAGTAAGAACGTTCTCGCATTGGTAGCCATCTTTCTGGGTCTGGGGTCACCTTTGGGTCATAATTCTTAGGCAATTTTCCTGTGTAATAAGTGATAAAGAAATAAGGTATGTCCACAATGCTTTCAAGATAGTTTGCTTAAAGAATGTGTCTAGGCCTGGGAATAAATAACATTAACACTGAAATAAGTCTGAGAAAAGTTTTATTTGTATAATCTAGCCAGGGAAAAGACCTTATTAAGCATGACACAAAATTTTCCATCAAGGAAAAGACTTCACATATGTATCTATTAAAAATTTTTTTTAAAGTTTCATTTATTTTTAAATTATTTCTATACCTAATGTGAGGCCCAAACTCACAACCCTAAGATCAAGAGTTCTGACTAAGCCAGACAAGTGCCCCTATATAAAAAATATTTAATTTCATTTGGTAAGAGATACATTTTTAACGGAAATAACAAAAAAATTTGCATATTATATGAGAGAGTGGACTGACATTCTTAATACAGAAAGAGGTCTTAATAATCAATAGCTAAATCATGCAAAGAAAAACGAGCACTGCTGTAATTTGGGTAAGCCAGGAGAAACTGAAATCCGTAATCATGTGAAAAAATACTACCTCACTAATTATAAATGAAAAAGGTAGCAAAATTCTATCAAACTAACAAATATTAAAAGCAGTAACAATACCTAGCGTTGATGAGACAGTAAAAAATACTCAAACACTACGGCAGAAGTGTACAATGGTATAGCCTTTGTAGAGAGCAATTTAATTTGGCAGTACTAGTCAAAATTTATACTTCTAGAAATTTATCCTGCAGCTACCCATTAGACACAAAGTTATGTGCAAGAATATGGGGGCACCTTGGTGACTCAGTCAGTTGAGCATCCAACTCTTGATGTTGG